TTTTTTTTTTTTTTTTGAGTACTTTATTAAACTTACTCTCCCTGTTGCTGAAGAGGCATCAGTTACCTGACAAGAACTGAGAAAACACTTACTGGAATAATACTTTATTTAGTAATTTTGGTTATATAGGGTCAGTTTTATACAGAAGCATAGAGGTGATAAAATTCAAGTTTTCAAAAATGTCAGGAAGGACACCAATTTGAGTTTTTGATTTTTTTTAAGTGTCTGATAAACAATTAGAAGTAATGTACACTACAGAAACCAACATTAAGACAGAATTTTTCCATAAATACTAATAATTTGTGTAATATGCTTGATGCGTGCTAAATAGCTTGGAGGATTTTTAAGTTTCTTTTGGATAAACATACTGATGTGAAATTTTACATTTAGTGCAGAATATCTTTAAGTACCTGCTACCACTGTAAACTATCCCATCTCTGCACACAAAGTGGCAAACATCATCAACATGTCCACGCAAGACCAGTAGTGGTTTATGTTGCAGACGACCTCTAGGCTTCCTGGTATAACAAAAAATGTTGCTTCCTTTGCTGTACCACAGTTTGTCTGCTTCCAACTGAATCCATGGCATGTACCTAAGATAAATACTACCAATCATCAGTTTGAAACATGAATTTCTTTGAAATTAAGGGAACACACATATGAAATAATTCAGATACTATAAGACAAGTTGTGCCATGTATGACAATTATTTTGTTGGATTTATATGGCTGTGCCTCAATCACTGGCAGTAGTAAGAAGAAAACTGAAAAGCTGCCAACCTAAACAAATGAGAAATTGAACAGAGGGAAGGCTTTAGAATCCCTCTGAGACATACCCAAAGCTCCCATATATAAAGTTAAAAAAAAACAAAAACTTTAACGAAATAACAGCTTTATTGCACAAGTAATATTTCCCAACTTTATTTTAAATTTTCTTCTGTTGATCATGTTGGTTAAATATACATAATTATTAGCTTACAAAACAAAAAATCACTGCTTACACTGTTCTATTTGTTTCTGTTTGTTGAAGTCAGTATATATGTGAACTGAGCTAATGTTTGCTACCAATATTTAATAATAATTTTCATCTAGAAGAACGTATAAATCAGATACAAGTTTCACTCATCATGTCTCGACCACTGGCTCTTAGTGAGGAGGAAGGGCGAGGGAGAGTGCAAGTGGAGGTAAGTATCATTGGAAATACATTTTGGATTTACGAATATGTTAACTTCTAAAACATATTTACCTCTTCTCACATTACAGCTGGAATCCCACATTGATAAAATGGAGAGGCAGGTGAGAGCATTATCCATAGAAAAAGTATCTGCATAGATCATGGGTGTGTCAACAGAAGATTGGCATCCTAGTGGGGGAACTGCACTAGATCCATAACAGGTATGCTCTTCACCTGGAACATAATTTATGTGGAGTGGGTGGAACTTTACATAATTTATCATCGCTATTGGCCAGGCCCCAATCAGATAGCCGAGGTTACACTGCTTGGGGTTGGAATAAAAATGACCATGGTCCTTATATCCCATGTTTGTGGCTAAGGCAATTGGACCACAAGTATGTATATACCTATGAGTGGATCCCAACCTGTAGCCATAGAGCGATGCATTCTGAGTCACCAGAATCACAAAGAGAGGGTAAGCAACACTTGAAGAAGACTAAAAGGCAACACCCCAGGCTCGGAATGACAGATCTTGTATGCCTTACTCAACCTGAGGAAACAGAACTCATCCAGTCTGGAATTATGAATGTTCATCCTAACTCCCCAACCATGTGGGCAAGGTAAATTCCACTTGTCCCAGGAATTATGGGGAGGATGTGGAACAAACTGTGCTCAACCATGGACCCAGGATGAAACCACTCTGCAATCATAATTCCTAGGAGACAATAGACCCTCTTCCATGGACAATGTACTGAACCAATATTGATCAAAAAGAAGTGCCATGCTCAACTCAACCAAACAGCCGAGCATCAAATCTTTATGAGTACTATGAATAGGCTCCCATATAGGCTGGTGCCTCTCCTACAAACATCTGGGAAAAAATCTCCAGGCATCCAGGTTGGAAGGCCCACAACTTTGTCCTCTTCTCGAGGAGTGGAAGAAATTCACTCTACATTCTGGAGGAAAAGCCTTTGTCCACCATCCCAGTGACTGGAAACTGGGTGTGGTAAGGACTCCCTAGCTCGACTAGTAGAATCTGGGAGGGGGGAGTAATGCACATTGGGGATTCCTGAAGAACAGTGCTCTGGAAACAGTGCATCAGGTGAACCAAGTTCCCTAAATTTTTAAAAGCTAACTGACCCCGATTTTTCAATCCGATGACAGGCAGGATCCCCTTTAGATATACTCATGATAGTGCAAGAGTTGTGGTCCATCTTACTCACCCCTCTGTATAATCTAGCAGAAGTGGTTAATACAATTCCATGGGGTAGTCAAAAACCCTCAGATTAAGATACTGCCAGATCATGCAAATAATGTGAGATTGGGGGAGGTCCACATAAAAACCTGTGCAATGTCCTCCAGTAGGCAATTCAACCAGGCTGCTAAGAACATAGAAATGAGATGAATCTGATCAGATGTGAATTGCAGAAGACTCCTCACCTTCAAAGGGAGCCCAGAATAAGCAATATGGATTAATTTCAATGTAACCTTGTCAATGTAACTGGGGATAACTCCAGAGTAACTGAATGATCCCAATGAATAAACAATCATTGTTTAGCATCTCTAAACGCATTAGTGTGGGCAACAAAATCTTCAAGACCCTCATGGACATAAACGATCAAAATCTGATCAGTTATAAAAGTGAGAAATAATGGTCAGATGAATCAATGAAATGGATTTATCCCTTTCCCTGTCTGACAGTATTATAAGAAAAAAAGAACTGGTTTGAGAATGTAGGCAGAATGATAAAACATCCTGTGCACAATCGGCTCAAACCACTCTAACTGGCAATGTCCGTAGGTCAGCAGGAACAAAAAATAAATTTTCAGGAAAGGTGAAACATAGCACATGAGGCTAAGGCCACAACAGCTGTTGAAACAGGGCATGTAATGTAACCTTACTATAATAGGAAGGTAACTGGAATGGTTGGTTGGAAAAAGGACCCAAGGTAACTTGAGAAAGCCAGAGAATACTGGAGATTCAAATAATTTTTGTCTCGATTTCGAACGGTAGTCAATAAGGTTGCCTTATAGAGGGCGATCATGGAAGATGCAAAACCCTAGCAAAAAGCCATGTCAAAAAATGAGTTATGGTTTGCACTTCTGGTAAACATGGGTTCAACCTCCTCTCAATACACCATTGCCAATATGTGTGCCATTTTCATTGATAAATGTCCATTGCAGGTCTAAGCAAGGACTGAGATAGATACATGGCAACCTTAAAAATTAAACCCTGATGCCGTGCAAATGACTGTATAACCTCCATGCCTGAAGTTTGAGCTTCTGAATAGTCAGGTGTACCATGTCAGAGATGGCCAAAGAGGAGGTAGGCACTGCTAAAAGTATGAAACTACCATAGAAGCAGAAACCAGGGAGTAGTTGTTAATCTAGTGTTATCAACAGGACCTGTCAGTGAGTTGGAACAAATCATATTTAGTACCTTGGGTAACATGCGTATTGGAGGGAAGGCCTAGAGCTGTAATCCTGTCCTATCTTGATGGATTGCATCCACTGCCAAAGCCTGAGGATGAAGTACTGGAGACCAAATTGCCAGTAGTTGGGTCTTCCAAATAATGGCCAACCCACCAATAATCGGCATTTCAAAATGAGAGTCAACCCAACAGATCGAGACAATCTACTACCACAGTCATCACCTGCAGAACATGGCAAGCTAAGGAGATCCATGTAACAAGTGCTCCCTTGACAGAAAATGCAAGATACTACTGTGAAATTGTCGGAGTGAAGCCTGATTATTTTTCCCTTAAGAAGCCAAGACCATGAGACATCACCTACTGAAGAGTAAGAAGGTCTTAAACATTGTATAGGGAAGACTCATCATGCATGTGTGGACCCTGGAATTCCTGACTGTTGAGATATGCACCCCATCCATGGAGAGGCATTCGTAAAGAGATGGATCTCCATACGAGGTGGCAGCAGAGGAACCCATATCTTAGTATTGTCCTGATCTAACAACCCATCAATATTGAAGAATGATCCTGAATAAGGAAACTGGGGAATCCAGTGAATCGATGTTTATGATCCCTTGGTCACATAATGACGATTGAAAGGATCTCTTGTGTACTCATCCAAAAATCATGAGTTGTTAGAGTGATGTCCACATTCCCAAAAGAGAAAGAACCATCCATGCAGTGGGAGAAGGGGGAGGAGTAAGAGTCGAGCTTCCTGTTCAGCAGCGTGGAGCCAGATGGGAGTTGGCAGAGCATGACTGAGATATGTGCTGAAAAAATACCCAGACTGATGACATATTTAGTTGAGCAATAATAAATGTCTCAGCTCTGAGAATGAAGTCTACTTTGATTGTTTCTGAAAGTAGAATCCGGATGTGATGTTCTGACAACTGACGAGATGGTGCCAGCAGTAACCAATCTCCTGGAAACAGTGTGTGAACAGGGCTAGGGAATGGAGGTGATGGGAAAACACTTGTATGATTTGGCAAAACCCATGTGGTGCTTATAGTTTTCTGAAGGTAAAAACCCTGAACTGCAGTACCTGACCTTTGTGCACAAAACCTGCTGATGGTGGTGGGAGAATCTAGTAATTGATATAGATGGGAAAAAATTGATGACTGGAAACCAATCTCATCTTCATGGGCCCAACATACCAATGGGAATAAAACCCTGGAAGAACTGGCACAACTCTCTATCTCCAGACCAACCAAACTGAAACAGCCATAGAACTAAGTTCCAAAATCCGAGGATTTTTGTGAGATGGAAACCATACAGGTTGGGTGGATAATTGTAGTGAATATGTGAAATGAATGACTAATTCTGACTCAAGTACCTGTAGTGCCCATTGATCCGTGGTTAAGGTTTACTACATATCCAGAAATTCTCAAAGCCAAGCCCCCACGAACTCTGAAGGCATACAACAATTACCAATGCCACTGGCAGCATTCTGACTAAGCATCAGATCCCTTGGATGTGGACACAATTCGAGTACCAATGGACCAAGGGGCTGATGTTGGGGTTTCAAACCTTTGCATATGGGTGGAACTATGACTGCCTATAGGAACTGATAAAAGTTGAGATACCAATGACAACAGGGATGAATGTAGAAGCTGACAATCGAACTAATGTGCATGTTAACAATGGGTCCAGCTCATCATCAATGGACTTGGTGATCCTAAGTCTTCCAACAAAGTTTAACTTTAGGAAAACAACATATTGGACTTTAGAGTTAAGCCTGTAGAGCTACCACTGTTCCACCAGAGAGCATTGATCTATTCAGGTTAACTACAAGTTCACTCTAGAACTCTTAATTTCTAAGAGCAGATATATTTTTTGAGAGTCAGAATATGCTTCCACCTGGCTGTGGTAGGTTAAATCACGTAGTTCTAACAATTGTGCGAGATAAGGCATAGTTGTCCCTTCATGTAACTGAGAAGTGAACCTCCCTGCATGAACCACAATGTTAGTGGATGGAGGGGAAAACTAAGTATTTGCTCCATACTTTTCAGCCATCAAGTAAGGTACAGACTCAAAAGAAACTGTGGAAAGAACCAAAACATCACAAACTCAATAAACCAACTGAAGAAAAAGAGCATGTGTCAGCTTTTCCAAAACTAGGCCGCTGAGAAATCAGAATAAAAGAAGGCGCAGGAAAATGCAAATCTAAATTCTCTCCAGAATGTTCAGAATTGCCCTCAATTGCAACCTCAGAGCCCCCCATAGGAACACCACCAAACCAAATACGTCTCTATCTCGCTACAATAAGATCACCGACAGTCTCAACCAAGAAGTTCAAGTCTACATTTTTTTTTTGTTTATATGATTGTTCACAAAACAATCAGTGAGTAACAATGAAGATCAAGTTTTAAGTTCGTTCCCAGGAAGAAAGAGACATTTATCACAGCAACTATTCGATTTTAAAAACAGTATGTCCAGCAAAGTACATATCAAAAGCTTGAAATTTGTCAACAATTATTAGTTTTTAAAACAGTTTGACAAGTAAAGTACAAACTGACAGCTTGTTTGCTGTGTGTATGTATTAAAAAAATGAAGAAAATAATAATAAAAAAATAAAACATTCTTCCATTCTTTTTCATACATACTCATATTAGAATGATTGACTGGTGAACTAATGGCTTATAGTCTTTACCAAATAAGCTGTACATAGTTCAATAATTAACTTTTCAATTCTAGTAATCATTCAACACTAAACAAAAAGCCTTCATAAATGATATGTTCAAAATGTAATAAAAGAATCTGGAGTTTTCTTACTTTGTATGTTGAGAAATCAAACCGAGTTCTTTGTATTTTGATTTCCTCCAATTCAGCGATACTTTGTACTTTTCCTTAGAAGACAATAATTGGAATGACCTAACAAAAAGCATAAGATATTAGCACGTTAACAGAACATGAGCTTATTTGGTATAGCAAGTTTCTGAATAATTCAAGCTTGGTGCTATTTGCAATTAGCATACATTACTCAAATCATTTCAGTAACATCCACTAGATGCGATACAATTCTTTCTTTAAACAAGTGTATATATAAATACAAATACAAAGAAACATATACAAATGCAGAATTCTCAAATGTACAAAGCAATCATATAGGTATAATGCAAGTTTTTGAATGTTGGAACACATGTATGTTGTTATAGCTTTGAAAATTAAATACAGTGCTTCCATTGTACATTACCATTGCTACATTTGTATTGATATTTTTTTCCTGTATAAAATCTTATGAATTATAACACCTATAAACTTTTACTTTCTTTCAGAAATTAATGAGCTGGTTTAATGAAATTGCAATATGAATATTACCACCTTTCTCGTGTATAAAAATGGCAAGACTAAAGGGCACAGATACAAATTTGTGCAGGATAAGAGTCATCTTCAGACAAGACAGTTTTTTTTTCTAATACGGTGGTTGGCTTTTAGAACAGGTTGCCTTCAAATGTGGTAGATGAAGTTAATTAATAAATATTTAAAAGATAAGGGCTTGCTTTGAGGTTTTTATGATTATTATCATTAAGTATGGTAGTACTTAATAGCAGGGACTGTGATGAAACAAAATGATGACCACAAAAAAAACACCTATTTAAAACCACCTTTAAAATGTCTGAATATTAACAATGACTATTTCACAGTACTGGCTGAGCAAAACTAAAGCTTATTGTACGTATAAAGCTGCCTAAATTGCTATATACGTGTTTATGGAGTGAATCAAAATTTCACTATTTCAACAACTTTTCATCTAAGTGAGTAAGTAATTAAGCAACTCTTCCAGACCAACGTACAGACAAAAT